CCCCACACTTGTAAGTATTTATAAGATGGTTTCCTTTCTGTCCAAAGTTCATACGGTGTTTCATCCTTTTCCTTGTGGGGTATCTTATTCAAAAGATATTTAGCCGACAAAATAGCTTCCCCCACATGTTCTGGATTAATCCAGAATAATTAGCATGACATTCACCATCTCTTTCAAGGTATGATTATTTCTCTCAGCAATACCATTTTGTTGAGGTGAATAAGGTTACGTGAACTCATGAGATGAATTCCATTTTTAGACAAAATTCAGCAAATGGAGAGACATATTTTCCACCCCTATCACTTCTAGTCACCTTGATTTTCTTGTTGAGTTGATTCTTAACTTCATTTTTATAAAAGAAAAACTTGTTTATTGCTTCATCTTTACTCTTAAGTAAATATATGTAGAAATATTTCATATTATCATCGATGAACATGATAAAGTATTTATTCCCACCCATAGTAGGAATTGATTTTAAATCAAACATCAATATGAATTAAATCAAGAGGTTCGGTGTTTCATTAAACTGTTTGGAAAGATGATCTAGTAAGTGTGGCTTCAACACATGTGGGACATTTTTGATTTGAGTCAATATCAAATTTTGGTATGTAGTTTAGTTTAACCAAACGACGAATAGAATTGTAATTTACGTGTCCTAAACGGTCATGCCAAACATTTGAAAACTCAAGCATATAAGTAGAACTAGAACTTGCTTTATTCATCTTGTTTGTCACCATTACATTCCATTTGAACATGCCATTTATAGCATATCATTTTCCTATAAACATACCACTTTTGGACAAAACAAATTTGTCTGACCAAAAAACAAGCTTAAAACCAAACTTATGCAACAAACCACCCGACACTAGATTTTTACTAAGTTCTGGAACATACAAAACATCCCTAAGCTTTAACTCTTTCCCCGATGTCATTTTTAGAACAACATCGCCAACACCTTTGACATCTGTGGTGGCTGCATTTCCCATGTAGATCTTCTCACCGTTATCAACATCCTTATATGTGTTTAAATTGCTCTTGTCATGACACACATGATGAGTATGGTGGTAAGATCCACCATTCTCTTGAATTATTATCCAAGATGTTCACCTCCGAGACTATGGTGGTAAGATCCGTAATCATGGACACCAACTGATCCACATCATCGTTTAGTATGTTTGTTTGACGAGGATTATCCTTTTTCAGCTGCGGGCACATCGAATCTTTGTGACATGGTTGGCCGCAATAGCAGCACTTGAACTTATTCTTGAAGTTTCCACCTTTAGGGCCTAGGTTTTTACCATTTCCCTTTCTTTTGTTTTCTTTCTTGCCTCTATTCTTGGAAGCTTGACCAACTTCCACACAAGAACCTTTGAAGATTCCACACCACCACCTTTCTTCATGGCTATTCGACTGTCTTCTTCAATATGAATACACACCACAAGCTCCTCCGCAGCCATCTCCTTTCGCTTATGTATAAGGTAATTCTTGAAGTTTATCCAACCGGGAAGAAGCTTTTCAATGATTAATGCAACTTGTAAAGGCACATTTAGAACCACCCCTTCTACAAGTTTATCATGTATAATCACTTGAAGATCTTGGACTTGACTCATAAAATATTTCAGTCATCTTGAACTTCAAGAATTACGCAACAACATGCTTCTTGGTTCCAACATCTTCAGTCTTATACTTTCTATCTAATGATTCCCACAGTTCCTTAGTCGTTTCAACTTTGCAATAGATATTGTAAAGTTCATCAGCTAACCCATTCAACACATAGTTGTGGCACAGAAACTCGGAGTGCTTCCAAGTCTCCACCATGCTCACAGATTGAGCGTCGGCTTGTCCCTCAACAACTTAGGGAGCATTTTCTATGAGGAACCGAGCCAAGTTTAGAGTGGTTAAGTAGAATATAATCTTATGCTACCACCTCTTGAAGTTAATACCAGAAATCTTATCTGGTGTTTCGACATGATTAGCCATGGTGTTTGGCACAGGTAGGGTAGCATTCTGGTTCACATGTGGAGGATTTAGTGTTTCACTTGGTCCGGCCATTCTGAAAAGTTATAATTCAAACAAATAATCAAAAACACAAATGAATCTGTTTTTACACAAAACAAAATCTGTTTACACAAAACAGATATAAGACGATTAGCAAAAAAAATCGAAAATAGATTTAATCGAAACAAGATCGACTAAAATAATTTTAGCGAGAATCTGTTTAAGATTGTTAGCTCTCGATAATAAATCTACAATATAAATAATTAGTGAATTATAACGTCAATTGACTGAGGCTCGTGGTTGACATGATTTCCTTAAACAAATTCGTCATTTGTTCATGTTCTCAGGGTACAACAACTGAAGCAGTATGTACTGTCGGATCTAACCACTTGCCTAAAAAGTTCTCCAGAATTTATATTCATTAATTCGAAATTAAATGAATAATTATGGATTAACTCACTTTAAATGAATCAGTTGTAAATATTTGCAAAAATGTGGCTTGTGTGAGCTCGAATTTTCGGAGCTGCATTTGTGTCCACATGGCTTGCCCATACACTAGTTCATTGAATTTGGTCTATAAAATCCATGACCTGCACCCCCTCCTCTGGGTGCATAGGTGTTAGAGTAAAACTATGTATAGAAACTTGTAAACCTATTACACATCTATGCTTATAAAACCACTGAGAGTTCGCACTTTTTCCTATGTGGGACACATTCCTACAACCACTTTATTTGCTACCTTTATTTTTTAATACTCATATTTGAGCATCGATATCTCATTCACACATTTTCCCTTTCGGACACAACATATATCATTTCGAAACTCTCAGGGAGGAGAACATAACCCATT